GACCAGCATGATTCATGTCCCCAGCAGTCAACTGCACAGAGGAACCTGTGGACTCTTGAATCATGGCATGGTCTGGGTGGGAAGGGACCTTGAAGATCATCCCATTCCAGCCCTGCCATGGGACGCCTTTCACTCTCCCAGGTTGCTCCAAGCCCTGTCCAGCCTGGCCTTGGACTCTTCCATGGATGGGACAGCCCCAGGTTCTTTGGGCAACCTGGGCCAGGGCCTCACCATCCTCACAGGGAGGAATTCCTTCCCAGTATCCCACCTATCCTTGCCCTCCAGCAGTGAGAAGCCATTGCCCCTAGTCTGTTTCTCCAGGCCCTTGTCCCAAGTCCCTCTCCAGCTCTCCTGGAGCCCCTTTAGGCACTGGAAGGGGTTCTAAGGTCTCCTCAAAGCCTTTTTTTCTCCAGGCTGGACACCCCCAGCTCTCCCAGTCTGTCTCCAGATGAGAGGGGCTCCAGCCCTCAGAGCATCTCTTGGCCTCCTCTGGACTCACTCCAAAAGCTCTGTGCCCTTCTGATCTTGGGAGTCTTCTGGCTTCCCAGCCAACCCCTCTTTGAACCTTAATGGCGTACTCCTCCCTGGAGCCAGCATGGAGCTGCTCATGCTCCCAAGATTCCATCCTCACCTCTGGTTCTTTGCCTGAGCCAAGCACATCCTGCCATGGTGAGACCATGAGGGACTCTTCCCAGGGCATACCTCTGAAAATAACTGCAGGCTGGGGAAAGCTGGGCCGTTACAAAGACTAAACTTGGGCAAATGCATTTCCATGTCTCCTCTGCCAGGGACTGATGTACCAGCAGCTGCTGAGCCACCAAGTGCCCCTTCCCTCATCTTGGGTACAGGATTTGTGAATCCCTGGGTACCTCTCCTCTCCTCTCCTCTCCTCTCCTCTCCTCTCCTCTCCTCTCCCCTCCTTTTTGCTTGGAATCTGCTCTGGGCACAGCAGGGTGACGGTGCCCACCTTCCACCTGCTAAGCAAACAGACAGATCAATAAATGCCATTAAACCAGCTGTTTTCCACCCCAAAATGAGCTGTGGGGCTTTTGGGGCAGGAAGGGAGACCCTCACTACACCTCCAGAATCATTTTCCCCATCCCCAGCTCTATCCCCAGCCCCATCCCTTGCTCAGTGCTGGAGCGAGTGCTTGGATTCCAGGCAAGAGGTTCCCAGTCTCCTTTGCCTTTTAAGGCAACATCTGAGTGGGTCTAAGGGTTACAAACGCTAACAAGCCATGGCAATGCTCATTTTAGTCTATTTAGAGGAAACGGGAAGGCATTTCAGTTCATCAAAACACTGGTGATTAATCAACCGACTACCAGGCTGTTTTCATTAGGCTTATTTTTAAAGGTCTGACATGCTGTGTAAAAATATTCCCCTAATAAATGTGCTTGTGGCAGAGGGAAAGGCACAGAGTGCATGCAGCAGCACTGGTTTCCAGGTACCCAAGGTAAATATGCCAGTGGGCAGAGAGAAATGAGCAGGCAGCACTCGGGATAGCCATGAAGAGGGGACAGCTGGCCCTGGGCTGCAGGGTGGTGGTGCCACAAGCTGTGCTGGTGGCCATGGGGGCAGCCAGGGGTTCCAGAGCAAGGGAAATGTGCTTCTCTCTCTCCTGAAACACAGCTCTGCCTCCGAGTTCCAGTTGCACTTCCAGCCTGGAGGGCAGGACTTTGGAATTATCACCAGTGGTGGGCTGGTGACACCTGAGGCTGGCTGCTGCAGCACGTGCTGAGCTAGGGGGACACACCGAGAGCCCTGGGGTGGTGGAAAGGCAGGAGGAGACAAGGACATGTTCCCTCTTGGGCACGCATGTGGCCTCAGGCAGGGCCTGGAACAGACCTGCTTTGGAGATGACCCCAGGCTCCAGCAAGGAATGGAGCTGGCCCACAGTGACCCTTGGGTTTAGAAACACAGATCTGGTTTCTTGCCTGAACTTTTTTTCCTCCCGATTCCTGTCCCTCTGCTGCCACTGGAGCTGGGTGCCTGCCAAGAGCTCTCCCAAGGCAGCTCCACAGGAGATGAAGCAGCTTGAGCCCCTCTCATCCCCTTCAACCATCCAGCACTTCTTCCAATAACCTGTGTCTCTTAGATGGGATCTTCTGATGCATCCCAAATTTGCTGTAAGCAAATGATCCCACAAGTGCTACCCACATTGGCAGGAACACCCGTGATGGTCACTGCATACCTGTGGCATTCCCTTGTTCCCATGCCTGGGACCACAACTGGCTCCTTTTCCCCCAGCTTCTTTCCCCTGACTTCTCCCAGCTCTTTCTCCTGATTCCTTTGCCCTCACCTCTTTTCCCACATCCCATTCTCTGGCTCCAGGTCTCTCCTCCCCCAAACTGCAGCACGTGGACATGTGGTCACACATCCATGAATGGAAGCTTGAACCACACAACAGTACACACTCAGCATGTGCTGCAGCACCTTTCCCAAGTACGGATTTTCCATGGATTTAATTTTCTTCTGGTTTAATTTGCCTGGAGTAAACTATCACCTTCTTCAAGCATGGGAGAGGTTGCTGGTAATTTTCACCAGGGTTTTTCTCCCTCTCTCCAAGTTCTGTTCATCCCTGGCCAAAGCCTTTTTTCCTCTTTGTCTTGGATGTGCCCAGGGTGCTCAGTGGAGATTCAGAGCTCGCCAGTGTTAGGCTGGGTGAGCTTGGGCTGGGAAGAAGAAAGATTTCTGGAGCAGTTGGTATGGAGATGAGGCTGCTGGCTCTGACTCGATGAGTGCTCAGTCTGGGGTCACCAAAATGTCACAGAGCCCTGGGGAGGATAAATGTCCCTTCTCAGAGGAACCTGCAACCTGGGCACTCCCAAACACCTTGGAGAGGCCCTGTTGGGGGCAGGGCAACACCAGTGTCCTCATCCCACAGTCCTCCTGCCAGGGCTCTTCCTCCACTGAGGTGCTTCAGGATGTCACTGAGCATCTGTGCACCATTCTGGCGCTGGGAATAGAGCACAGCTTGGTGACAAGGACTTCTGGCTCAGTGCCAGAGGAGGTGGCATGACCTGGTCCCTGCAGCACCCAGGACTGGGGTGCATGGGAGCCCCATGCCTGGTCCCTGGGGTGGCAGCAGTGGGAACTGTGGGGCCCCCAGGCCACGCCAGGCTCTGCAGGGGTCTGGCAGGAGCCTTCCTGTCCCTGCTCAGCCCTGCGCCAGGAGCCAAGAAATCGCTTAACTAAACAAACAGCTCTCTCGTCCCTGATGGCATCTGTTTATACACCAGGTACAAACAGTCCCCAGGGCTGCCCATGCACAGCCAGTTCTTTCCACAAAAATCTGTCCCTGAGGGCTGGCAGTACTGCATGTGGGGAAAGTTCAGCCTTATGCTGCCCCAGCATGGACACTGTGGAGCACCAGGATGAAGAGGAGGAGGCCAGCCTGACTGCAGACTGTGGTGTCAGGATTCAGGCCTGGGGGTTCCAGGCAGTGGGTGAAGCCACAGTGCTGTCCTGATCATGAGAGGATCCAGGGAGATTGTAAAGGCATCACCGCTGCATCTCCCAGCGGCATCTTCCTTCCTCCTTTCCCTGGAGTCCTAAAATCCCTCCAGCCAAGGTGATGAGCCAGGCCAGTGCGGAGGGCCTGTGTGTTCCCTAGCTGTGGAAGAGGGAGAAGGGCATTTAAATTGCCAAACCTTGATGTGAAATTTATGGTAGCATCCTCCACTATGCAGCAAACTTGGTCCCAGTGTCAAGTTCATCTCCCTTCAGCCACATGAAGCATTGGTTCCTCTCCCTTGGAAATGGATGTGTTTCATGTCATGGAGTCCTAGACTAGTTTGGGTTGGAAGGAACCTTAAAGTTCATCCCAGTCCACCCCCTGCCATGCGCAGGGACACCTTCCACTATCCCAGGTTTCTCTAAACCCTGTCCAACCTGGCCTTGGACACTGACAGGGATCCAGGGGCAGCCACATCTGCTCTGGGCATCCTGTGCCAGGGCTGCCCCCCCTCACAGGGAGAATTTCTTCCCAATATCCCACCTAACTCTGCCCTCTGGCAACTGCCAGAGAGAAGGATGGGAACCATATCAAAGGTTGTACCAATGCTGATGGAGACCCCTCCCAGCCCTTCAGCCTTGGTTGAAGGCTGCAACAAGGCATTGGCTGTGTCCCCAAGCTGCTGGAGTTGGCTATGGCCAGCAGCAATGCCCAGGACAGGCTGTACCAAGGGCAAGGGTCACATGCTTGTAAAAATGGCCAAAACTTCCTTCTGACTTTCCCCCAGACTCTCCAAGCCCTTCCTTCTTTTGATGTCTTTGGACACTGGGAGCAGATATGCTGGGAGAACCTCATGCATTAGAAAGCTATAAATGCCATGCTCCCATTTCCTCAGTTTTCTGCTCAAAAGTGCAAACTGCCATTGAAGGTAGAATGGTTTTGCAGAACCCAGGGTTGGAGTGACTGCTGGGTCAGCAGTGTCACTAGGGACACTGCTGTGGGCTCTCCCCTGCTTGCACACACATCCAGGACAGTGTGGAGAGTGTTGGGCTACAGACTGGGAAAAGCCACCAAGCATTCAGCTGGAAACCATTTAGGAAAGGCGGGAAAGCACCTGGGGCTCACAGGCACTACCTCCATCCCTAGTTAGAAAAAGGATTAAAAAATTATAACTTAGAGGGGGTATCAGAGAAGGTGCCTCCTACACCTTGTTAGTTTGTGGCCTGTCAGGGAAGATGTCCTGCAGACCTCCAGAGCCCTTTGGGAGGGGGGACTGGAGGCAAAAGAGAGCAGAGCTGCCTTAGAGAGCTGCAGCAGGACCTCATCACACCTGAGTCCTGCAGGCTCTGCCTACATTCAAGGCACTCACATGCTGAACCCTTCCCTGGAGCTGGGACCTCGGCTGGGCCAAACGTTCCTCTTCAAAGGCCAGCCACAGGCTGCAGGATTTTCCCATGTGACAGTCAGTGACTGTGGGACTGGGGTGGCAAGGCTGTAGGTCAGAGGCACCTGTTCCTGTAATTCCCAGGTGTTTTTCTCTCACTAGGAAAGCAGGTTGAACAAGAATGAGGGAGACAAAAATCAAGAAGAAAAAGGAAAAGAATCTCCTTCCAAAGAACTGGCCCAGAAACAAGATGCTAAAGTGGGGAAAGACTCTAAAAAGGAAGAAAGTGTTGACAAAACAGACCTGAAAGGTAAAGCTGAGACTAAGAGCAAAGAGAACAAAGCTATGAATGATAAAGTAAAGGCCATGGAAAAAAAGCTGATGGGGAAGGACAAGAAGGAGGAAGAGAAGGGTTCAGTGTTGAAGAAGGACACAGGGAAGAACAAAAAGGAGGAAGAGAAGAGCTCAGAGTTGAAGAAAGATGAAGGGGAGGATAAAAAGGAAGAAGAGAACAGCTCATGTCTTAAAAAGGAGGAAGCAGGGAAGGATAAAAAGGAAAAAGAGAAGGTCTCAGCAGCAAAGGAGGAGACAGAGAAGGAAAAAAAGCAAGAAGAAAAGGATTCAGCATCAAAGGACACAGGGAAGGACAAAAAGGAGGAGAACAGTTCAGAATCAAAGAAACAGGCAGAAAAAGACACAAGAGGGAAAGATAAAAAAGAAAATGAGGAAAAAGCTTCGGCTGTGAAAAAATCCAAGGCAGATGAGAATGATAAATCCCAGACAGAAGCAGAAAAGGCAGAAAAGGTGGAGAAGAAACAGGAGGCCAAGGCAGCAGCCGAGAGCAGCCCTTCCAAGTCTTCCTCCAGCAGCTCTGCAGATCAAGCCAAGGACGATGAAGCCTCCAGCATCTTTGACGAGCTCATCGAGAAGGTGAAGAACAATGATGCTGAGGTGACCGAGGTCAACGTGAACAACTCCGACTGCATCAACAACGAGACCCTGGTGCGCTTCACTGAGGCCCTGGAGTTCAACACTGTGGTCAAGGTGTTTGCCCTGGCAAACACCCGCGCTGATGACCACGTGGCCTTTGCCATTGCCATAATGCTCAAGTCCAACAAGGTGCTGACAAGCATCAACATGGACTCCAACCACATCACAGGCAAGGGTATCCTGGCCATTTTCCGGGCCCTGTTGCAGAACAACACACTGACAGAGCTACGTTTCCACAACCAGCGGCACATCTGTGGGGGGAAAACAGAGATGGAGATTGCCAAGCTCCTGAAAGAGAACACCACACTCCTGAAGCTGGGTTACCACTTCGAGCTGGCTGGGCCACGCATGACTGTCACCAACCTGCTGAGCCGAAACATGGACAGGCAGAGGCAGAAGCGCCTCCAGGAGCAGAAACTGGCACAGGAACGGGGGGAGAAGAAAGACCTCCTGGAGGTGCCCAAGCCTGGAGCAGTGCCGAAGGGGTCCCCCAAGGCATCCCCACAGCCATCCCCCAAGGCTTCCCCCAAAAGCTCTCCCAAGAAAGGAGGGGCACCCACCATACCACCCCCACCTCCTCCTCCACTCGCCCCACCACTGATGATCAACGAGAACCTGAAGAACTCTCTCTCGCCAGCCACACAGAGGAAGTTGGGAGACCGGGCGCTGCCAGTCCAGGAGAAGAACTCTCGAGACCAGCTCCTGGCAGCCATTCGCTCCAGCAACCTCAAACAGCTCAAGAAGGCAAGTGCAGGGCCAGGTGGGGCCCATGCACAGGGTGGGGCTGGGGGCTGAGGTCATGGTGGCTGTCACTCTGGCAGTGTCCTTCTCTGGAGTGGGGCTGTGTCCAACCCCTGCACAGGGGCAGATCCATCCCTTTGCCAAGCACATGGGGAAGGAAGATCCATCCTTTAATCCCATCCTGCAGAGCAGATGAGGTCAGCAGGTCCAGCCTTTGGCAGAGCATCCAACAGGAGATCCATCCCTTGGCAAAGAGCATGACAGGTGCAGATCTGTCCCTTGGCAGAGCTCCTGTGTTGGGCAGATCCACCAGGATCCAGGGGCTAGGACACAAGGAAAAACCCATCCGTAAGTTATAACTCGCTGGGCTCTTGATATCTTGTTGTGGCTGAGCCCATGCCCCTGGGGTAGAAGGTGGCCCAGGATGGCTGGAGAGGTTTCATCTGCATTTAAACAATTGAAACATTTCTTGATGTCAGCCCCAGTCTGGACTTGACTAATCCTTTTGAACTCTTTACATATGAGTTAATGTTGCTCTGAGAGTACTGATACAGCACTTGGGGACCAGCAGAGAGGTGTGGCCTACTTCTCAAACAGCTAGACTAAGCCAAGGGTGGCCTGGGTGCTTGAAAGCTGTGGCAGCAACTGCCCTCCTAATACAGGAGGCCCATAAATTCACCCTTGGGCAGCACATTGTCAAGCATGTACCCCATGCAGTAATAACTGCTGGAATAAAAGGGCCTAATGCTGGTCCCAGCATGGAGCCTTGAAACCTCTCACACACTCCAGGTGGTTTGTGTCCCTGCTGGGCTGTCTATGGGCAGCCTGGCCAAGAAAAAAAGGTCATTGAATGATCTGGGTTGGAAGAGACCTTAGAGATCATCTCTATCCTGTCATGGGCAGGGACACCTTCCACTAGCCCAGGTTGCTCCAAACCCCATCCAACCTGGCCTTAGAACACTTCCAGGGATGGGGCAGCCCCAGCTCTCTGGGCAGTCTGTGCCAGGACCTCCCCACCTTCACAGGGAGGAATTTCTCCCCATCTAACCCTGCCATGGATGTCCCCACACTGTGTCAGTGACAGTCCTGCACCCCGTCCCATTGCTCGCCCAGTAATGGGGTGTGCTTCCCTGCAGGTGGAGTTGCCGAAGCTGCTGCAGTAGGGAGCGGGAGGATTTTTCCCCTGCAGCCCATGGCAGACCCCCAGACACTCACCTTTCTCGTGACAAGCCCTTTGGAACCTGCAGTGACCGACGCCAAGGAGCAGGGATCTCTCTGGGACACGGAGGATGGGCCGGGCCCAGCAGGACATGATGGAGGAGGTTGTATTTATTTTTTGATGGTTGTGAAGCCTTCAAGCTCACTCTTCTACCAGCACTGTGCCCCACCGGAGATGCCAAGAATAGAGCAGGGGTCTGCAGAGCTGATCCTTATGGAAATCCCCCGTCAGAGCATAACAAAGGGGTTTGGCACCCCACTCTATCCAGGGTCCAGCCTGGGGTGAGCAAGAGTACCCCCAGCCGTGGGGGGGAGCAGGGGACACCCAGACCATCACCACATCACCACAAGGTTTCTGGGTGGCCAGCAGAGTTTTGGGATTCAGGCACAGCAGTGGCTGCAGAGCTGGGGGTTCAGGCTTGATGTCAGGAGGAATGGGAGGGTGGGAGAAGGGAGCAGCCAGGGAGACAGGGGGCATGGAAGTGGGGGACACAGGGAGCCAGGCTGGGGCCAGGAGCTCAGGCATCTTGTACGCACCCACAGTACTGCAGGGGGACCCCCAGGACCCTCAGAGCATGGAAACCAAATCCACCTTAGAGAGAGCAGGGAAAGCACCAGCTCAAGGGGGGCAGTGGGTTTTGGGGTCATGTGATGCCCGTCCTCCTCCCCCCATCCTTCCTGTCGTGACACCTTGATCACGATTTGTATGACTGTGGCCACTGCATCAGCAATAAAGCTCACCCAAATGCTTCCTGTGCCTCTGGACAGGTCCACGCCCCCAGACCCCAAACAGAGGTGCAGGGGGTGTCTGGGAATGGACTCAGCAACCTCAGCCAGGGGCAGCTTTTCCCTCTCCCACACCCACAGCCCACCCTGAACTGGGCACCCTGGGACCACCTGGACAAGCCAGCCTGGGTGTCCCTGGTCACCCACTCAGAACCCCTGAAAATGGGGCACCCAGGACCCCCCAAGTGGGACAGCCAAACCCCCCAAATGGGGCACCCTGCTGCTGCTGGACACAGACAACCAGGCACCCAGAGCCATGCAGACACCCCAAAACTCCGGAGTCATGAAGAACTGAACACCCCAGGACCACCCCACAGTCACCTAAAACCCTTTGAGTACACCCAGAACTGGGAATCCTGGTGCTGCCCCAGGGTCACCCCAAACTCCAAGGTAATCCAGAACTGGGTGCCTCAGGGTCACTCTAAAACTCCGGAGTGACCCCAAAACTGAGCACCCCAAACCCCCGGGGTCACCCAGAACTGTTCTTCCCCTGGCACCACGGGGTGGGGGCCGTTTTGGGATGCAGCAGCACACGGGTGTCCCCCGGGAGGCTCCCCCTGCTCCGGGACACCCACATGCGTGGCTGAGAGGCTGCTCCCGCTACAGGTGAAACGCCGTTTTGGGGGCCATTTCTGCAGCCGCGCAAAGCCGTGGCCCCAGCGGGAGGAGCAGTATCCGCACCACGGGGTCCTCCTGCCCCTTGCCCCCGCACTCCTGCCCCTTGGGGCGGCCCCTGCTAACGCGGGCACCACGGGGCCATTGGGACTTCCCACACCGAGCATCCGGCCGGCCCCGGGGTGAAAGCACCAGGGGCGTCGCCCGAGCACCGACGGTGTCACTAAAACCGGGGGTCCGGGGCGGAGCGAGGCGGTGCAGCCCCCGATGGGGAGGGAGCGCGCCCGGCAGGGGGCGCCGTTATCAAGCCGGGGGCGCTGCTGTGCGCGGCGGGGCCGGCAGGGGGCGCCGCTGTCGCACCGGGGCCGCCGTTAACGCACCGGGGGCGGAGCGGCGCGCGGCGGGGCCGGCGGGGGCCCGGTGCAGCCCCGGCCCGTCCGGTCCGTCCCGGATCCGGTTGCGGCAGCGCCCGACGGGGGCTGTCGGGGGTCTCCGGCTCCGCTTCCCCCGCTTAGTACCGGGGAACCGGTGCAGGGCACACGGCGGCGGCGATGGACGGCGGGGCGGCGGCATGAGGCGGCGGAGGCGGCGGGGAGCATGGCGGCGGCGGGCGGCGGCGGGGCGCGGCGGGGGCTGCTGAAGCGGAAGCCGAACTTCACGCTGCAGGAGCTGGAGGTGCTGATGAGCGAAGTGCTCCGGTACGAGCCGCTGCTGTTCGGCGCCGCCGCCGGTACCGTGAACGCGTACGAGAAGCAGAAGATCTGGTGGCGGATCACGCACAAGGTGAACGCCGCCGGCCGCCACCAGCGCGACATCGGCGAGGTGAAGAACCGCTGGCGGGGGCTGCGCCGCCGCGCCGGGGACAAGATCAGCCGGCACCGGCTGGAGCGGCAGGGCCCGGCCGGCAGGGCCGCCGCCAGGAACGGGAACACCGGCAGCACCGGGAATAACGGGAGCAACGGGAACGGCGCGGCCGAGCCCGGAGCGGGGCCCGCCCCCGCCTGGAGTCCTCGCAGCGCCGCCGGAACCGAGCCTTCGATGCGCAGCGCCGAGGGGTCGGCACAGCCCGGTGAGTGCGCGGGCAGCGGCAGCGGGACGGGGCAGGGACACGGGGGTGCTGGCCCGGGACGGAAGAGTGGAGAGACGTGCACGGAGGACACGGACACGCACATGCGGGACCGGGACTGGGACGGGGGAGAGCGGGGCAGGGTCGCGGGGGTGCTGGGACCGGGTTCCGGGGGGACCGGCACAGGTGTATGGTGGGACAGGGACATGAGGAACCAGGACAGACATGGGGCAGGGACTTGCTGGGTGACCGGGATGGGGGATGAAATAGGGGCCATGGATGAGTTGGAATGGGACATGGAGAAATGGGTTTAGGAAGTGGGCACAAACAACAGGTACATAGGGACGCTGGGACCAGCACATATGCATGGAGGAATTTCTCCCCAGTATCCCATCTAACCCTGGTCTCAAGAGAGACGAGGACCAGCACCAGAACATGCAGGACCAGGACATGGACATGGGAAACCAGGACACAGACACAGGGCCACTGGGACTGGGAGAGGTTGGGAGGAAGAGGGACACAAGGGGACCGGGAAGTGAGGGGATCGGGATACAGGAGACCACAATAGTGACATGGAGATACTGTGACCAAGATGTGGGGGTCCAGGACACACACATGGGTAACTGGGACTTGCATGCAAGAGAACTGAGCCTGAAACAGGTCACTGGGACCAGGACAGGTGCATGCACGGACACAGGGGACCAGGACCAGCAAAGGGACACAGCCAGACCAGAAGACAGGGGCAGGTGCATGGGGAGATGGGGATGGAGACTCAGGGGGCCTGGATCAGCACCTGGAGAACCAGGATACAGGGCATCAGGACAGGGACATGAGGAACTGGGACAGGGACACAGAAGCACAGAGGCACTGATCCCTCCAGTACAGGGACATGGAGTAACCAGGACACAGGGGACCAGGACAGAAACATGGTTCTGAGACAGGGACACAGGAGACCAGGACCAAGAGCACGGGATGAGGAGCAGGAAACTGGGAGCAGGACAGGTGTGTAGTGGGACCAGGACAGGAACACAGGAGATAAGAGCCAGGACAGGGACACTGGGGCCATGCCATCGGGGACAGGGACATGGATACAGGGGACAATGGCAGGGACATGGAGGATTGGGACAGGAACATGAGGGATATGGGGACATCCTAATTCATCACTAGGCCTGGGAAGATACATGGAGGGACTGGGACACAGATCTAGGCAAACAGAGCAGGGATGTGAGGGGACTGGGACCAAGATGTGGGAAAAACCAGGACCAGGACACTGGGACCACTACAGGTGCATGGAGGGACTGGGCAGGAACAGTGGGGCAGGGACACAGAGGGAACACAGAGTCAGGGCAAAGGGATATGAACATGGAATATTGGGACAGGTGACAGGGATGTGGGAGGACCAGGACAGGGACATAGGAGACAGGGAGAGTAACAGAGGCACCTATACCAGGACAGAAGGGTACCAGGATCAGGACAAGGATATGGGTGACTGGGATTAGGACAGGGGCAAAAGGCACAGGGTACTGGGACCTGGACAGGGAGAAGAAGGGGCTGGGAACAGGACAAAGGTGTGGTGGGACTGGGGCAGTGACATGGGGCAGGACCAAGACAGAGACAAAGAACATTCCAGTACTGGGACTAGAACAGGGACATGGGGGATAGTGGGGTGAGAACTGGGACGTGGTGGTACCAGGACCAAACAAGGATGTAGAGGCACCATGTTCAGGACAGGGATATGTGTGGACTGGGGCAGGGACATGGGTGTACCAGGACCATACAGGCACATGGGGACGCCACATACAGGACAGGGGTATGGGGGTACTGGGGACAGGAGAGGGACAAGGGACTGAACTATCATGAGGGACACGGAACTATGGAGATAGGTATAGATGGAACTGGGGCTGGGTGCAGGAGAGGGGATGTGTGAGCACAGGGATGGAGACAACAGGGTCTGTCACTTGGTCCGTGGGGCACCGGGAACACGGGAGATCCCTGCAGCTGCCCTGTCCTCGGTCCCACAGGTGTAAAGGAGGAGCCGGTAAAGGAGGAGCCTTTGGAGGTGAAGACTGAGCCCTTCCACGGTCCCACTGCCGACGGCGCTCCCGGCCGCGGCTCAGACTGTCGGCTGCCCCGCACCGGCATCTGCCCGCCCAGCGAGCTGTGCGAGGGCTGGAGCCGGAGCCCCCCGCGCTCCGCACCCTCCGAACTCCCCCTCGGCGACCTCCGCGGGCCGCAGGAGCCGCTGGGCTCCGACTTCCCGAGTCTGCTGTTGGAGCAGGAGGCCGAGCAGCTCAGTCACTGCGGCGCGGGAGAGGCGGGGCCCCCCGGGGGGCTGGACGGGACCCCCGAGCGCCCCCAGCTCAGCCTCGTGCAGTCCAACGAGCGGCTGGTGCAGGAGCTGCGGGCATTCCGCCGGGAATACGCCGAGAGCCGCCGGGAGACCGCGGCCGTGCTGCGCGGCATCGCCCAGGCGCTGGGCGGGCTCAGCCGCAGCCTGGCCGAAATCCGTGACCTCTACCTCCGGGAGCGGGGGGTCCCCGAATCCTGAGCGTCCCACGCAGCTGGCTGTGTACACACACCCCAGAACCCACGTCGCTGCTTTTATTATTATTTCTTTTCCTGTCCATCCCACTTCAATAAAACTCGGAGCTGCTCCCCCATGGCTCCCCCCACCCCAGGCACCTCAGACGGCTTTTGGGGATGATGCAGAGGGCTGGGAGATGGAACAGCGGTTTGTCCTTCCAGGCGGCTCTGCCTGGCTGTTCTCCTGGACTGATGGACTCTGGTCCCAAATTTAGCCAGCAGTGCTGGCAGGGATGAATCCCACCAGGAACAACCATCAGGGTGACACACCACCCACGCTCCCCAGCTTATTCCTGTCCAGGGGAGAGGGCATGGATAGAGGAATTGTTCACACGCCCACAGTCTCAATCCCGGTGCAGAATTTGCTGTTTTCTCACCCGAAAGATTCCAGGGGTGGTTTCACGCTCTGTTTTGAGTGAGGGGGGCTGAGTGGGCGGCCAGCACTCCAGGCTGGCTGATTTGGTGGGAATTACTCATCCCAACACAATTTTGGGAGGGAGAAGTCTCAGGAGCAGAAGGGACAGAGCAGAATTCATGTTTCCCCACATAACAATTCGCGGGAAGGGTTTGGGGGCGTTGCCCTTCCTTTTTTCCCCATTAGAATCACCTAGACGACACCAGGCTGTGGGCACAAGACGTGGTTTAATGCCAACCCCGGAGGGAAGAGCCGGGGGTGAATCCGGGGGTAGTGTGCAGGGAGACAGCGGTGCACGGCCGTCGCAGGACCCCCCGGGAACCCCTCCGCGGCTGCTCGGGGCCACTGGCACACGGAGCCGGAGGAGAAGGCGCCCACAAAGGCCCCAGTGTGCGGCACAAGGGCCGCCCTGTTCTGCTGGCACCGGATCACCGCAGGATGGCTGGGAAGAGCCCGATCCAGCGCTGGCTAAGGCAGCCCCCCAGCGCCAGGGGGGTCCCTGGGGTCCCCAGCCCGGCCCCGCTGGCCGGCGGCGGGTACGGGGGTCCCCGCGGGGACTCATGCTCCAGGGTAGCTGGGCTGCGCCGGGACGTAGGGTGGCGGTGCTGCGGGGGGAGCAGGTGCGGTGTCACCAGGCTGCCAGGCCCCCCAGGGAATAGGGAGGGTCCCCATTCCCCCCCGGTGCTCACCTGTGGGGTTGTAGACGGGGGGCCCAGAGGGGTACATGGGGTACTGGGCGGCAGGGCCGGGCGGGGGGTACATGGCCATGGGGGTGAAGCCAGGCTGGGGAGGTGTAGGGCCGGCTTTGGGGTCCACGGGGAAGGGAGCTGGGGGAGCTGCGGGGTGGTAGCTGGACAGGGGAATTTCCGGGCCTGTGGGAGAGATTGGGGAAGTCTGCAGCACACCGACACAGGGACAGGGATGGTGCCTAAGAGTGGTGGTGGCCCTCAGGTTGGTGGCCGCTGGGGTGTCAGCCAGACCCTCACCACAATGCACAATTTTCCCCGCCGCATCCCTTCAAGTCCCACCACCTCATCCCCCCCACAATCCCTCCACCGTGTACCTCAGGACCTCTCCTTCTCCCCACCCCTGTACCCTACCCCTCCTCCTACACCTTAATTCCTGTATTCCACCCCTCACCCTCCTGATCCCCCCCCTCATTCCAACAGCTCCCCTTCTCTTTGCCTCCCCTACCATTCCCCCCACCCCACACCTGCAGGATTCTTCTGCTCCCTCTCATCTCTCATCCCTTCAGCTTCCACCTTTTACCCCAACACCCTCCTTGCCTCTTCCCAAACCCCTCCAGTCTCTACCTACAGGACCCTCGTGCACCTCCCACCCCTATAGCCCACAGACACACCAATTCCCACAGGCCTCTGTCCAGGCCTCTCCAATCCCCCATCCTGTACCTACAGCATCATCATGCACCGAGCCTCCTCCTGCATCCCCCATCCATGCATCTCCCATTCCTGCACCCTCCCATTCTCCCAGGTCCTCCTAACCCTGCACCTCCTTACCTGCAGGACCCTCTTGATCCTCTCCTCCTGCACACCCTGCATCCCCCATCCCTACAGCCCCCACCAGACCCCCCTTCCCCCTGAAATCCTCTAGGCCCTCTCAACCCTACTCCACCCATTTTTCCTACAGGACCCTCCTGCACCCCCATCCCAGCCGCCCAGCCCCGCACCTTGCAGGGGTGTGCGGGAATGCTGCCGGCGCTGGTACAGGTAGCAGCAGGAGCACATGAAGCAGCAGACGATGGTGGTGACGATGGCGATGAAAAGCACCACGGCTGAGGCAATGCCCGCGATGGTCTTGGGGCTGTGGGACCCCCGGGCGTGTGGAGCAGGGCCAGGGAGGCACCCGCAGCACACACCCCCAGCCAGCACCCACTGACACTGCCCCGTGCCCAGCACCCAGTGACACTGCCCAGTGCCCAGAACCAATGCCCAGTGACAGTGTCCGCCACTGCTATCAGCACCCAGTAGCACTGCCCACCCAGTAGCAGTGCCCAGTACCCAGTGCCAATGCCCTGTACCAGTGCCCTCTCCCAGTGACCAGCAACCAGTGGGAGTAACCAGTGCCCAGCACCCAGTACCAGTGACCAATCCGCAGCATCCATCCCCCAATGTGCAGTGCCCAGTATCAGTGCCCAGTACCCAGAACCCAATACCAGCACCCAGTACCAATGCCAAGAGCCTGGCACCCAGTACCAGTACCAAGTGCACAGCACCTAGTAGGAGTCCCAACACCCACTGCAAAGCACCAATGCCCAGTTCCACTGGCCAGAGACCAAAAACCCAGTACCACTGCCAACACCCAGTACCACTGCCCAGTGCCCAGCACCCAGCACTCAATGCCCAGCACCCAATGTTAGTGTCCAGCACCCAGAGCCAACAGCCTAGCAACCCAGTAGCACTGCCCAGTGCCCAGTATCACTCCCCAGTGCTCAGAACCGGTGCACAGCACCTGCATTCAGCATCCAGTAACAGTGCCCAGTGCCCAACACCCAGTGCCCCCACCAAGTACCAGTGGAGAGCACCCAGCATCCAGCACCCACTGCCACTGCTCAGTACCAATGTCCAACCCCCAGTACCAGTGCCCAGCACCACTACCAGTGCCCAGCACTCACTGCAAGGGCCCAGATACCACTGCCCAGTACCCAATACCAGTGTCCAGCACTATTGCCCAGTGCAGAGCATACAGTGACCAGCACCCAGTACAACTGCCTATCCCCAGCACGCAGTACTAGTGCACAGCACCCAGTCCCAGCACCCAGGCTGCCCAGGAGAGCCCCCAGCCCCATCAGCCCCGGCTGTGGCACCTGAAGGCAAGGCAGTGGCGCTGCTGGCGCTCGGTGAGCAGGCGCAGAGGGTCTCGGCAGCAGTACCGCTGCTGGCACGTGCCGCAGCAGAAGGTGAAGAACTCGCAGTCGAAGCCAGGGTGCCATGACCCGTTTCTGTCCACGTACCACAGGCAGTCTTCGCCCCCGGCCACTGTGGACAGCCACCCACCACCGGGGCCTTGGAGCACCTGGCCGTCACCACCCTCAGGGGCATCAGCAGTACCCCATGCCCTTCCTCTCCCACATGAGCACAGCCTGTACCCCACTGTGTCCTATTCCCCTTGTACCCCGGTCCATCCTGCCTCATGGATCCCCAAAATATGCCCCTATACACTCCCAAATACCCTGCTGCTTCCTGTCCCCCTCATATCCAGCCCCACATCCCCTATACCCTCCTGTGTCCTGCCCCATGGCCCCACAAACGGTGTCCTTATGTACCCCCAAACCCCTGCTCTGCTCCATCCTGCCCCACATCCCTTAAAACCCTGCTCCATTCTGCTCCCGTGTACCCCCATATCCTGCCCCATCCCACTCCACTTCCTTCCAAACCCTGCCCCTATGTATCCCCATACTCGGCTCCATCCAACCCTACATCCTTGCAGACGCCACTCCATCCCACCCAGCTCTCCCACCCCTCCAGATTCCTCCAGATCTCCCTAGCTTTCCCTCCTTCCGCGTGTTCCAGTGGCACTTCCCACTCTATTTCTGTCCGGAGCCACCTGTCTTCCCAGAAATAGCCGCGGGCCGAGGTCCGGGGGCGGCCGGAGGCGCCGGAGCAGCCACGGAAATGGGCTTTGCGGGAATCTCACATGGCATTATTACACATCCCAAAATGGGATCACGGCAGTTCAGGGACAGGTGGGGAAACTGAGGCACAGGGCTCGTCCATGGGAAGCCCCCAGGTTCCCCGGGGCTGGGCATCCCGGCTCGGTCAGCCACCGGCTCCGTCCCTGCTGCTCCCGGGGTCACCCCGAAAGCGGCAAATGGGAGGCGGGTTAGGGGGCAGTGGGCACAGTGCCCAGGGGGACACTTTGTTGCAAGCAACCCCCGGTGAAAGGGGCCGTGTGTGACACGACTCACAGTCACGGCCGGTGGCACGAAGTCCCTCCCACCCAGCGGGATCCCCGTGTCACAGATGGTGGCACAGCGTCCAGTCGCAGGGTGGCACCGGGTCCCCCGGCCCTCCCCGGTCCCCGTATATCTCTTACCCATCGAGGCGGCCACGGCCACCAGCAGGGTCCCGGCCAGGGGCCAGCCGCTCCCGGGGCCCCCGGGCCCCATCCCGGGGCCGGGCCTGGTGTCCCCGCTCAGAGCTGTCCGGGACGAGGGCGGCGGCTGCGCGGCGGCACCGGGACCGGGGCCGCTCCCGTGGCCGGTCCTGGTGCCGCCCGGTGCCGGTGCCGCGGGGCCGCTCCCTCTGCCGGTGTCTCCCGGTGCCGTTTGGTGCCGTGCGGGGCCGGCGCAGGCCCGCAGTGACGCCGCAGCCCGGCGGCGCTCGGTTGCTGCCCGGTGTCCCCCCCCCCCTCCCGTCCCCCCGGCGCCGCCTCCCGCCGCAGCCACAGGCCCCCGCCCGCCCCCACCGGGAGGAGCGACGCCGCCGGCCCCGGGCACGGGCAGGGCCGGGCGGGAATGCGGGGACCGGAGCGTCTCTGGCACTGCCCCCCACCACTGCAACCCCCGGAAACCCTTATTTCCCCTCTTCTTGCACCCCATCTCTTCCCTCGTCCTTGCACCACTCCCCGCACCCATCCCCGACATTCAACCCCTTCCCTACCCCCTACTCCCCATCATTTCCCCTCCCAGCACCCCTTCTCCGACCTCATCCCACCCCTGCACTCCTTATTTGCCTGCCCTGCACCCCATCCCGTCCCTGCACCCCATCACTTTGGTTCACAGCACCCTTTCTCCAACCCCATCCTTTCCCGGAGCACCTTATTTCCCTCCCCCGGCACCCCATCCCTTCACCCATCCTTGCAGCCCTCCCCTGCACCCTTCCTGCCCACCTTCCTGCAGCCCAACCCTGCACCCTTCACCTCCATTCCATCCTTCCTCTCCACCCCTTGCCCCTTTCCCAGCCTGGGTCACTGGGTGCCAGGGTTGCACAGCTGGATCTGGGGCACCCTCTTGCCACTGGGATCACCCCATTACTGCCCTGAGCACAGCCAGCCAGACCCCAGATCCACGGAGTTCCATCCTGGCAATGCCAACAGAACCCAGGGATGGGGGACCTCAGAGGGGACATGGAGGTGACACATCCTGAGAGTGACATATCCCAAAACCCACTTTTATTAGAGACCAGAACCTCAAATTCAGGGTCGTGGTGACACCAAGGTCACCATAAGCACTGGGGTCACAGTGTCCCTATCAGCATTGCAGTGCCAGTGAGGGAACACAGGGTGGGGGCCAGCCCCTGCCACCCCACTGTGGCTCCCTCCTGTGCCCCACGCTGGGCTGGGGAGGCACAAGACGTCCCTGCCGCCCCTGGGCCAGCCAGGATGTGCCCCCGCCCGGGGTGAGGACATGGCACTCACACTTGGGTGACAATCTCGCCATTCTCGGGTATGTAGACCTGCACGGGCACGCCGGCTGCCGAGCGCCGCAGCACCTGCACCGGGGGACCCTGGGGGACAAAGGCGCTGTGGGTGTTGGCATCCTACCTTGTCTGAGGGGCACCACTGCGGGCACATCCTGGCACAAGGGCTGGGCTGAAGGAGCTGTGGGGGCATGGCCACAGGTCCTCACTTGCCCAGCCTGTGTCCCAGCTGTGCCACAGGTGCATTTGTCCCAGTGAGACTGCCAGGTGGAAAGAGGAGCTGGTCACTGAAATGCTTGCAGGGATCCTTCCCTGCTCAAGGGCACCCCAGTGCTACCCCAGGGACCCACATGGATCCTGCCCTAGGGACCCCCCTGAAGTCCTGGTCCTTCCCATGGGACTCTCATGGGACCCCAGTTTTGCCCCAGTAATCCCCTTAAGGTTCTGGTCTTTCCCATGGCACCCCAGTTCTGCAACAGGAACCCCCGTAGGGTCCTTGTCTTGCCCTTGGGATCTGCAAGAGAAAGCAAGAACCTACATGGAACCCCAGTCCTGCTCCAGAGACACCCTTAAGGTCCTGGCCCTATCCCAGGGACTCACATGGGACCCAGTCCTGCCCCAGGGGGTCTTGGTTCTGCCCCTGGGACCTACACAGAACTCCAGACCTGTCTATGGGACCCTCAGCAGGCCCTCATCCTGCCCCAAAGGACCTTAAAGACCTTATTTCTATTCCCAAGACCAGAAGACCCTCGTTCTGGCTGTTGGACTTCCTCAGGAACCCAGTCCTGCCCCAGGGACCACTCTGGGACCCAAATTCTTCCTCTGTGATTCCCTCAGGACCCTAATCTTCCCATGGGGACCTACTCAGGATGCTGGTCCTGCCCAAGGAACTATGAGGGACCCTCTAGACCCAACCTATGGGACCTTGGACCTGCTCAGAGGACCCTCAGAAGGTCCAAATCCTGCCTCAAAGGATCTTAAAGGACCTTGATCCTCTCCTCAGGACCCTCCTGAGACCATGTTCCTGCCCCAGGCTCCCTCCTAGAATCCCAGTCCTGTCCCAACAACCCTCACAGGACTCCATGGACTCCCTCAGACCTTCACCCCTGCTCTAGAAATCCTCATGGGACCCCACCAGAGCTGCATGTCCCTACACTACCTCAGGGTAACAACTCATGTCACCTGCAGTACAGCACCCAGGGGGGTCTCTCTTCTCCCATGTGGCCACTCCCAGCCAGACCCCATGTCATACCTGAACGAGTGACAGGATTCCATGAGCAATGGGCACGTCCCTGATGGTCCCACCATGGGGTCTCTGGAAAGCCCCTTGCCGGTCGAGGGAGTGGGGCCGGGCACTCCTCAGCCGGGCACGCTGGTGCCATGACTTGAGCTCCTCGGTGACGGCGGCCTTGGAGAGCCCTTGGGCCCCGGTGGGTGCGTAGTCTTTGAGCGAGGGCGTACGCACGATGCGGCTTCGGGAGGGCACCAGGCGCTGGTACCGTAGCGGGGCCAGATCCTGCTCGTACAGGAAAGTCAGGGGGCCAGCAGGTGGCAGGAGCTGGAGGGCACCCCGTGGGTAATAACCAGGCTCGGCAAGGGGCAGCGGAACCGCAAAGGACATGTCAGGGCTGCTGCTGCCCGGGGAGGTGGCGTGGGAGATGCTGGAGAGGTCGGAGATGCTGTCATCAGAGCCAGAGCGGCACGCAGGGCCGGGGCTCAGGAGGCACGAGGTGGGCACAGTGACTGTGTAGTAGGTGGGGCGCCGACGGGGTGTGGCACTGCGGCCCCGGGGCTCAGCTGGCTGCCAGCATGGGTCCACCCTGCAGGCAAGACACTGTGGCTACAGAAGCACCCTTACCCTAAAGCCAGGGCAAGCTCTGGGAAAGGTGTACCCATGGGTACAGCCAGCCACCCCGTGGGGAGACATCTAACTTCCTCCCATGGGATTAGTTCCACCTTTCCTGTGGGGCAGTCTCCAGCCTCCTCCCAAGGGATTAGTTCATCCTCTCCATAGGCTTACTTCCATCCTCTCCTTGGGACCATCTCCAACCTCCTCCCAATGGATTTCTGTCCATCCTCCCCACAGGGTTTTCTCCCACATTCCCATAGGATTATCCTCATTCTGGTCTCTGGGATTATCTCAATCCTCCCCATAATATTGTCTCCATCCTCCCAATGACTGAGCTCCATCATCTCCATGGGGTTAGTTCCATCCCCTCCCCATGGGATCATGTCCATCCTCCCCAAAAGATTTTCTCCATCCTCCCCATAGAGTTAGGTCCACACTTCCCTTGGTGTTCTCTCCATTATCTTCTACATAGGATTATCTCCATCCTCCTCCCCATGGGTTTAGCTCCATTATCTCCATGAGGTTCTCTTCATACTCTCCCACAGGATTACTCCCATCCTCCTTCCACACAGGGTTAGCTCCATTTTACTGCCAGTAGGACTATCTCCATCCCTCCTATGGGATAATTTCCAACATCCTCCCCATGAGCTGAGCTCCATCATCTTCACAGGGTCATTCCCATCCTCCTTCCCACGGATTGAGCTCCATCCTCCACATGGGATTATCTCCATCCCCCTCTCCATGGGGTTATCTCCATCCTCCCTAGCAGAAACCCTTGTCTATCCTCCCCAAACTCAGGACATACCTCAGAGATTGGGTCTGTCCCTGCCGTCCTGATGGCTCAGGGGTGCTGGGAGCACTGGAACCTGCCTGCCGGCACAGCACCACGGTCCGGATGGGGACAAACTGGTAGGAAGGGTCCCCTGTCCTGGACACTGAGGGGCTTGCAGAGTCAGGGCTGCTGGGGGCCAAGGAACTGGCAGGGGCAGCCATCAGGGACCCAAGACAGCATTGGGAGCTCTGGGTTTCCCCATCCTCAGGGTCGACGCTGGGATTTTTGGTCCTCTCGTAGGGTCTGTCCAGGCTGGTCTCCTGCCAGGGAATGGGGGCGGGTACCACAGGCCCTGACTCCTCCTCCTCCTCCTTGGTGGGGTCCTTGGGAGATGGGGACCTCTGTGGAGTGGCAGGTCCTGGTGGCCGTGTGTCCTCTGCAGGAGAGATGGAGGGTTGGGATGAAGGGCACACAAAGGGAGGGAACAGGTGGATGGTTGGTATGGAGGGGAGATGTGGGGGGCTGGGATGGAAGGGACACACAGGGGAACAGCATGGAGGGGATACATGGCAGCGGAACGGGATGGAGGAGACACAGGGAGAGTAGAGATAGAGGGGACACAGGAAGGGCTGAAATGGAGGGAACATGTCAGGGGTCCCCCCGGTCCCCACAGCCCCCTCACCCTCCTTCAGCAGGCCAGTGTGCAACATGGAGTTCTCGTTGGAGGCACTGAGCTCTATGGGGCAGGGCCCTGTGAGAACAGAGCTGGGGCCGCCTCCGGGTGCCAAAGCGCTCCCACGGCCCCGCCACCACCCAGCGCGTCCCCGCGGGCCTCCACTCCCCTCTCCCACACCACCTGTCCCAACACGCTCCAGGACGGCAGCGGTACCGGCCAGGCCGGCTCTGCTGAGCCGCGTGCAGCTCCCAGCCTGCCTGGGATGGGCAGGCTGGGGGCACCAACAGGGAAGAGACGCCACCACCATGGCCCTGTTCCTTGGAGGGGACAGGCATGGAGAGAACGGGGACCCCCTTGGATGGCCGCCACTGGGATGGGGACACGGCAGCTGGGCCATATCCTGCCCCCCTTTGGGTGCAGGTGCTGAGGATGGGTGACTGGGGATAGTTATGAGGTGCAAGCGCAGGGGTGAGCTGTTAGGGTACTTTCAGAAGGGTGCAATCAACGGAGGTGAAGTACTGGGGTGGATTCAGTGGAGCACTGCTGGGGATGGTTTATCAGGGTGTATGCACTATGGATGGGCTTTTGGGGTGCATTCAGGGGGTACATATGCCAGGAATAGTTATTTGGGTGCATGCACTGGGGACTTCTTTTCGGGGTGCACTCACAAGGGTACAACCACCAGAGATGAAGTATTGGGGTACCTTCAAAAGGGTGCATTGACAGTGAGAGTGTAGCAAGGTGCATGTACCAGGGATGGCCTTCCAGGGGGCATCCAAGGGGTATATTCAGCAGGGATGGGAATTGGGGTGCATTTACCAGGGGGCGTTAGGGGCATGCATTCACTGGCGATGTAGAACCAGGTTGTATTCACAGGGGATGGAAAGTTGGAGGGCATCCAGGGAAGTGCATTCACCAGGGAACTGGGGTGCAGCATTGTGGATGGCATATTGGGAAGGGACACACAGGAGAATGGCAGAGGGGCATGCATCCAGAGGAGTGCATGCACTTGGGATGAAGGATCCCAGCATCCAGTGGGGTGCATTCACAGGGAATGGGTAATTTAGATGCATTCCCCAGGGACACCCAACCAAGCAGCACCCCATTCTGCTCTCCAGCATCCCCCGCCGACATGGGGCTTCGAGGGCTCACCCTTGGCAGTACTGATGTCCCGCTGCCCTGCCAGGAGCCGCCGCTGGCTCAGAACCTGCTCCAGATCCCGCAGCTTCTGCTCCTCCCGGAGTGCTGCCGTCTGCCGCCTCTTCCGCACCTGCCGGCCGATGTTCTCCTCGCAGCAGAGCCGGCGGGCGGCCTCGGCAATCTGCAGCTGCAGCGCCCGTTCCCGTTCCAGAGGGTCCTGGGGGCAAGGGACACGCTCAGAAATGTGCCTCAACACCCCTGAGCCCCCCATAAGGCTTAACATCCCAACGCCACCCATAGCACTTGGGATCCCAACCCCGCCCAGCATCTCATCTGGGACCCCAACACCAAGCATCACTCTTGGAACCCAACACCACCCATCATGCTCAGGACCCCACCACTACCTATGACATTTGCAACCCACCTCTTCCCATAATTCTGGCATCCTGATACACCTGGGACTCTCCCCACACCCATCACCTTGGCACCCCAACCCCACACATTATGTTTAGGACCCCAGGATAACCCCATTAACTCAACACCTCAACACCACCTCGTGCTTGAAAGCATCCCCTGCCCCTCTCACCTACAGCACTTGGCACCTAACCACCACCCATGGGATGGGGATGGCAACATTTCCAGGTGATCCTCAGGCAGCTTCCACAGCAGAGGGGATGGGATGGGATGGGATGGGATGGGATGGGATGGGATGGGATGGGATGGGATGGGTCCCCACCACCTTTGCACCCCAGGGACTGTCTCACCACCCCACGCAGAACGGCGATCTCATCCAGCTTGAAGGCAGCCCCGATCCTGCGACGGACCTTGGGGGGCTTCTCGCCAGCTTTCAGGGGGTACTCACAGGGCAGGGTCCCCGTCAGCTCCTGAGGATGGCACAGGGACACTGAGCAGAGCCATAGCAGTATATGAAGGTGGGCAGGGGGTCCTCATGCCCTGCTCACCGCCTCACGCAGGCACAGCTGTCGCAGCTCCTGGATGCAGCCATCCAGCTGGGCCTCCAGTGCCTGCTGCTGCCGCTGCCCCACCAGCACCCGCTCCTTCGGGGGGGACACTGGGCTGTCAGGGTCTGGAAGAGATACATGGACATCTGGAGGGATGGGAGCACCCAGGTACCATCCTCCACCACTCCACAGCCTCCCTACCTTAGTTTTCCCTCCACCGCAGGGGGAGAAAAAAGCAGCCACAACCCTCCCAGCACACCCATGGGCACTCCAGCTGCCCCAAAGCAGCTGCGCCTCCCTTCCCCCACAGCAGCACCCGTGGGTGTATTGACTCCCGTGGAACACCTGTTTCCCCCACCCAGCAGCACCCATTGGTGTTCCAACCCCCCAGGGTATCCAGGAACTCCTCCCCTAGCAGCACCCATGGGTCCTCCAATGCCCCAGGGTATGCATGAAATTCCCCCAGCAGCACCATGGGTGCTTCAGCCCCCCCCGGGACACGTGTGACGTCCCTGCTGGGGGGCGGGAGGGGGGGCACAGGAGGAAGGTTTCAGTCTGACTCAGCCATCCCAAGCCAAACCCATCTGAGTCAAATCCTGTCCACAGCACCCCCCACTACACTTGGGATGCCTCCCGAAACGCAGGGGAAGCCTCCATTCCTCCACTCCTTCATTTCCCCAAAGCTCTCTCCAGGCAGCTCATGTGTCCCTAATGTGTCCCCATGCACCGAAGTGCTCCGTTCCCTGCCTGGGAAGGAGGGACACGTCTATCAGAGCACTCCTGGGCGACAGGGGCACCCCAAAACCTCCCTCAGCCCCAGACCCCATTCTCACCCGAGTGCAGCACGATCCCGCTGTCCATGTCACTGGCCTCCCCCATGCCGCGCCGAGAGCCTGCGGGCAACAGCGGGGACACAGCTCGTCCCCACGCCCCGAACCGGGCTGCACCCATGGGTGCCCCCCACCCTGCACCCCTACCATCCCTCATGTCACCCCGGGCGTGCCGCGATGGCGGTGGAGGGGAGGCGAGGCTGTGTTTGCTTTGCCTTCTTGTAGGTCCTACCATAAATAAAGGGTGCGGTGCGCCAGGCGGGGGAGGGTGACACCCTCGAAGGGGTCAAAGGTGGTCGGGGTGCGGTGGGGGGGAGGGCCGAGGGGCCCCTCGCTCCCGCTCCAGCTGGTTTCGCTGGGCACCTCTCCCAGTTTTCCTTTCTTTTCCATCTGGGCTGGTGGCGGATCCGGGGGTGGGAGCGACCGCCGGCTTCGGAAAAGGGGGTCCCCAGCACCCCAAGATTCCCAAACTCTTGGGGAGGGAGTGAAAGGAGGGCAGCGGGACGGAGGGGAGGGGGTTCACACCGCTTTTCCAGCGCCGTCGCCTGGCTATGCTTCAGTTTCCCAGCCCGCTCCCCGTCGCGCTGGGCGGCCAGAGGCTGGACGGAGGCCCCGGGGTCCCGGCGGGGCGGGAGAATCCCTTACCTGAGCCCGCCGCCGCTGCCGGCTCTGCTGCGCCGGGGCACGGACGGGTGTGGGCTTGAGCGGAGGGAGGAGCAGGGTGAGCAACATCTGCCCCAGTCCCCGCCCCGCCGGACGGCCCTGCCGCGTCTGCACCGCACGGCGCTGCACGGCATGGCACATTTGTGGCATGGCATGGAATGGCATGGTACGGTATAGATGTGTCACAGCATGGCCTGGCGCATCACTGCAGGGGCTGGTGCAGTTCGGTGTGGTGTGGCACCGCAGCCCAGCACAGCCTAGCACGGAGCTTGCTGAGGCTCCAGCCCTAGTGCCATGTAGGCATAGGCCAAGCACAAGAACCACTGTCCCCGTCCTGGCCCTGGCCATGCACAGCAGGACAGTGCCAGGATGGTGCCACCATTGTGCCAGGATGATGCCAAGGCTCTCCCAGGCTGTGAGGCGATGATGCTGCAGACACTGTGGCCCCTCTGAGCTGGATTGGAGTGAGTTGGGCACATCCTGCATTGCTACACCTGGCAGGGTGGGGAAGAATCCTCATGGGATGGGGCTAGACAGGATGGGCTGAGAAGGCAGGGAATAGGCAGGGTGCAGGCAGGGTGATGCAGGGGGCAGGCAAGGAGTGCAAGGAGCAGTCTGGGGTGCAGATTCCCTAGAACAATGACCTGTTCCTTGCCTTGGTGCCCAGGGTAGTGCTGTCAGCCTGGGGCTGTTGGAGTGAGACTTATTCAAACTAGTCTCTTCCTCCCTCCTGGTGCCTCCCAGCTGCAGGTGGAAAGGGCAGGGGTGAAACATGTTCAACTGTGGAAATGGAAAAAAACACCAGGAGAAGACAGAGAAGAAAGGAGAGGGAGACTGAAGGAGTAAGGAAGGCTCTGTGCCACCAGGGGATGGCTGAAGGCCTTGGATGGACACCAACTGCAGTTGGGCTTGTGGCAGCACTGGTAAAATGAGCCACTGGCCACCATGACCACCCTCCATCCTCACCATGCACCATTAGCCCAAGGCAATGCCACCCCATCCCTGTCTCTGTCCCATTTCCATCAAGAAAACAGATAAAAGACTTTATTAGGTTGTTTTCTGGTTCATGGAGTCAGGACAGGTGCAGGTCAGGGGGAGAATGTTGCCTGCATCCCCCATACCACCCCTGGCACTGCCCTGGTGTTACCACCTCCTTCCAACCCTGGCATCTTGGTTGTCACCAGCATGGGGACACCAAGGCTCCAGGACTCACCCCCAACCACAAGCTGACTCAGAATGGTAATGCCGGGTGATGTTCCCAGTGCCAGGATGTGCTGGGGACAAGGGCTGCCCGGTGTGTGCCAGGGGGCTCAGGGAGCTCTGCTGGGCTGGCTTTGGCTTACATGTGTCAGGCACCTGCCTCTGCCAGCTTTCTCTTCTGCAGCTGCCCCACACCTGCAGGAACCTGGGACGAGGGTCTGGCCCTGGCCCAGCCACCTCCTGCTCATGCTGCAGGAGGGGCAGCCATGGGGCCTGGTTGGGATTCCCCCAGCCCTCCCCATGACCCGATTGTCTCATGACACAGGTGTTCCCTCAGCTGTCACCATGACCTGGTCACTGCTGACCATCCCTTGACCAGTGTCCACCCCGACCAGCTTCCTTCAGCTACTCCTCGATTTCCCTGGACATTCCTCAGCTGAACTGCCCCAACAGCCTGATCAGCACTTGTCTGTCCCCAGGGAAGGAGACATGGATATGTAGCTGGATGGACACGTGGAGGGTGGATGGATGGATGGACGGATGGATGGATGGATGGATGGATGGATGGATGGATGATGGATGGATGGATCAGTGGATGGATGGATGGATGGATGGATGGATGGATGGATGGATGAATGGATGGATGATGGATGGATGGATCGGTGGATGGATGGATGGATGGATGGATGGGTGGATGGGTGGGTGGATGGATGGATGGATGGATGGATGGATGGATGATGGATGGATGGATGGATGGATGGATGGATGGATGGATGGATGGAAATGTGAGGTGAAGGCAGGAGAACTGGCCTGGGTACAGGGATGGAGGCTGGGACAGACAGACAAGGACAAAGGGGCATCACAGACCTCCTCAAGTCTGTGGTGGCACTTCCTCAGCTGCTGCTCCAAGTCAGGTGGGCATCCCTGCAGCTCGTCCTGCAGCTGCCTCAGCCGCCAGCTCTCCAGCACCTTCAGAAGCTTAGCCCTGTGCCAGGGCAGGATCCCCCTGTAGTGATGGACAGGCTTCAACCAGCCACCACACCCTCCCCCTGTAGTGATGGACAGGCTTCAACCAGCCACCACACCCGGACACCCAGCTGGAGACAAGCCCATTCCCATGCCCACCTGCTATGGCTGAAGAGTAACTCCTAGTGCAGGTCCTGGTGGCTACAGGATTCCCATATCAGGTTTGGCACCTTCTCAGGCTGAATAATCCTCCTGTGGCCATCAGTGGCCAGGTCCAAGGAGAGAACATCACTCCTGTCACCTTCTTGAGAGGTAGGCGATCAGCAGGGGATGGGAGCACCAGGGTATGAGTCACCAGAAGCATGGAGTCACTAGTGGGAAAGGGTTATTGGGGATGGGGTCACCACAAGGGATGGCACAACCTGGGACAGAGTCACCAGGGGATGGGGAGGAGCCACATGCCAGTACAGGGTGGGATCCTGGACACCAGCCCCTTTGTCCCCCAGCCCCTGTGGTCTTGTGGTGGCAGAGCTCAGAGTCCTCACCTGCTGCTCCCAGCACCCTCAGGGTCCCTGTTTGCAAGTGTCCCTGTCCCAGGCCACCCTGTGGTCTCAGGCCACCCCATCTTCCCATCACTTCTTAAGGTCCTCATTATCCCTGAAGTACCCACCACCATCAGGTGCCCATCACCTCTCAGGTCCCCATTGTCTCCTGGGGTCCTCATTGTCCCTGGGGTCCCCATCACCCCTGGGGGTTCACTATCCCTCAAGGTCCTCATTACTTCTTGGGGTCCCTCTCACCTTCAGGTTGCCTACTGTCCCTGGGGTCTCCCTCATTCCAAGATCTCCATCACCCCTGGTGTCCTGTTGTCCCTGTGTCCCCTTCATCCCCAGTGGGGTTCCCAACACCACTGGGGTCCCCATCAGTCCAGGTGTCACCACTGTACTGTGTGTCCTCATAACCTTCAAGTCCTCACTGCCCTTGGGATCCCCATCACCCCTGCGGTGTTAATCATCCCTCAGGGTCCTCATTACTCCTTGAAGTCTCCATTGCCTTCAGCATCCCCATTGTCTCTGTGTTCCCCATTGCTCCTGAGGACCCCAGGTTCCCATCACCCTTGGGATTCCACCACCCCCTGGTCCCCATAACATCCAGGTTCCCATTGTCACTGTGTCTCCCCTGGCATCCCCATTGTCCTTGGGATACCCATCACGCCCCATCCCTGTTCCCCTGGGTCCCACAGCCCCATGCCGTAGTGCCAGCAGCCACCCAGCACTGTGCTTCTCCTCGAGGCTTTGTTGTCACCCTGGCCAAGGTGTCACTAGTGGAGACCAAATAAATCAACCCCTGATGTCCCTCCTGCTGGGAGCTGTGGCTGGCCCTGGTGCCTGGGTGCAAGGGAGCAGCAGGAGAATGGATGTTCTCCGCGTTAGTTCTGGAACCCAAGGAGGGCAAGGGGTCCTCAGGCTGAACTCCGGGACAGGCACTGGAGTCTGCTGGGAGCACTGGGAGCACCAGACTCACTTGGGGAGCACTGGGTTGGCTGAGGGCACTGGGAACACTGCGGACATTGGGAACACTGGGAGCACAGGGACTGATGGGGGCTCTGGGAACACCGGGAGCACCCAGGACTGCTGGGAGCACCAGGACCACTGTGGGGACATTGGGGCCACTGGAGGCACTGGGAACACGGGGGGTACTGGGGTCACTGGGAAGACTGGGACTTTGGGGCACTGGGGTCTGCTGGGGGCACTGAGAGCACTGGTGCTGGGTGCACTGGGACCACTGGATTGTGTGGGTTGCTGTGGGAGCTGAGGGTTACGGGAGAAACTGGGCAGGGGACTGGATGCACTGGGTGTTATGGGAGATACAGGGAGTTACTGGGCGCACTGGGGGTCAACTGGGAGACTTATGGGGGATGCTGGGATGGGGATTGGGTGGCACATGATGTTACTGGGAAGGACTGGGATACTGGAGGCACTGGGGTTTTTGGGGAGCCTGGGGCTTACTGGGGAGGACTGGCAAGTACTGGAAGAGCTGGGATGGGGACTGGGTGCTTGGAGAGGGGGCCTTAGGGTTAGACTGGGAGTTACAGGGGAGCCTGGGGGTCAGATTGTACTGGGGGGTTACTGGGATGACTGGAACTCACTGAGGGCTGGAATGGAGACTGGTTACACGCGGGTGGTACTGGGATACTGGGAGGACTGAGGGTTACTGGGGGTGCTGGTGGGTTACTGGGTTGCTGCCATGGGGACTGGTTGCCCTGGGGAGGTACTGGGAGGACTGGGGCATACCGGGGGCTGCAGGGTTATGGGGAGATTGCGAGTTGCTGGGAAATCCGGGGGTCACTGGGGTGTGGTTGCACTGGGGAGGTACTGGGAGGACCGGGGATTACTGGGAGTACTGGTGGGTTACTGGGAGGACTGGAATGGGGGCTGAGTGCACTGCGGGAGACTGATGGGTCACTGGGGACGGGATGGGGGCTGTTCACACTCGGCCGGGCGCACCGGCAGCTCCCGCAGCGCTCGGGTCACCGGGGCTGCTGGGCCGCACCAGGGCGGCACACGCACCTCCCCGATAGGCGCTCCATTGAGGCCGCCTGCTCCTCAGGATGCGCGTCGCGCGGGTCGGCGCTCGGCTGGCCGTGCCTGTCGCCCGCTTCCGCTGTCGCGTCGGCGCCGCGGGGGCCGGGGGGGTCTGGGGGCGCCATGACCAACGGTGGGAACGGGGGGCCCAGGGCTACCGAGGGGGGCCTCGGGACAACCGGGGCCGGCATAACCAATGCTGGAACGGGGGAACGAGGGCATGTGGAGGGTCCCGGGGCCACCATGGCTGGTGGTGGGAACTGGGGAGTGGAGGGGCCGGGGCGTCCGGGAGGGTTGGGGGCCTCAAGGACCATGGAGGGAGGGGGGTACGGGGGGTTTTGGGGGTTCCGAAGGCGGGGGGCCTGATGGGGCACCATGGGGAGAGCACTCAGGTACGGACAGGCGGCGGGGCAGAAGGGGCTGATGTGGGGGAGGTACTGAGAGGAAGTTTTGGGAGATGGCTGGGGGACTGTGACCCTTCGGGGGCGGGGTACTGGCGGTTCTGAGTGCCGTCGGTGGGAACACGGGCAGTGTGAGTCCCTTTCGGGGGGATCCCGGGGAGTCTGCATCCCCTCATAGGGGCAGAGATGGGAGGTTGCTCACACGGAGTGTGGGGGTCTCCTTGCAGGGGAGTTGGGCAGGGGCCCGGAGTTCCCCCTGACCCCTCCCCGACCGATCTCCCCGCAGTTTATTCCCTGGACGGGCTCCTGGTGTTCGGGCTGCTCCTGGTTTGCACTTGTGCGTACCTCCGGAAGGTGCCCCGACTGCGCACCTGGCTCCTGTCCGAGCGCAGGGGCATCTGGGGAGTCTGCCACAAGGGTGAGGGGCACTTGGAACACTGGGGTACAGGATGGAGGTGCTGGGATCACTGGGGTGGGGCACTTGGAACACTGGGGTACAGGATGGGGGTGCTGGGATCACTGGAATGGGGCACTTGGAACACTGGGGTACAGGATGGGGATGCTGGGATCACTGGGGTCGGGTCTAGGACAGGAGCATTGGGTCCAGGATGGGGACACAGAGATGTGGGATGGGGGTTTTGGGGTCTGGGATAGGAACACAGGGATTGGGAATGGGAACAGTGGGGTTTGGGATGGAGTCTGGGATGGGCTCACAGGGATTCAGGATGCATCTGGGATGGGGACATGGGGCCTCACCCCATCCTTGTCCCACCCACAGCTGCTGTGATTGGGACCCGCCTGCACGTGGCTGTGTCCATGTCCTGTCTTCTCATGGCCTTCTACGTCCTTGTGGGAAAGTGACCACATGGAGACCTGCTGGCAACCTGAGAGAGACCTGGGACTGACTAGAGATCCTGTGACTGATTCCAACAATCCCAGTATGGACCAGAGATCCTGGTACTGACCCCTGTGTCCCAGTACCAACCAGAGACCCCACTGCTGACCCTGGAGACCCTGGTACTGATCCTGGAGACCCTGGTACTGACCATGAACCACCCCTGGTCCTGCCCTTGGCAGCAACCTGGATCCTGCATGTGGCAACCCAGGGACCATCATGGCCCATCACCCTCCTTGAGCCCACCAAGGGCAACTGTGAGGGCCAACAGAGCACCTTTAGACTGTTGGAAAAAGATTTCTCATGAATTCTGTAGAGAAGTGGGTGAAGGGACCCCCGGGACTGGGGGACCCAGCTCTGACTTGTGAGCCCCTTGTCTTGATGCTGAGCAGGGTGCTGGTGAGACCATGGCAGGCTCTGGGGGCCTGGCAGGGTCCCCCCTAATCTGTGGGATCTTCCTATGCCCCTGCAGCAGAGTGGGGGGGCCCTCAGGGGGGTCTCCTGCAGTGGGGGTTGGTGACGCCCGGGTTGTAAATATTGGACCGCCACATGCAAATAAAGTGGGGGTTCCTCTGTGGCAGTGCTGGCCTGGGAGTCCTGTGGAGCTGGGGGGGCTCCTGTGGGGTTGGTGCCCTGCTTGGGGGTCCTGTGGTGTGGGTTGAGGGTCCCACTGGGTGTGTGTGAGGAGGTCCTTGCAGGCTGCCTCCCGTGGGGTGAAGGGCTCCTGTAGTTATGGGTCCTGGGGTGAGAAGGATTTGTGCAAATAAAGTGGGGGGGAGCTGTGGGGTGGGGAATGCTGATTGGAGCCTCCTGGCCCGGTTCATCCAGCTCTCTGTGGCCGGGAGCCATACAGCCCCTCAGCGAGGGGCACGGAGGGCTGTGCCCTGCCCGCGGTGAGTGTGCCCGGCCCCGCCTGCCGCCCGTCGCTGTGCCGCCCGTGTGCCCGGGAGACGCGGGCGGTGCTCGGCGGTGCTCGGCGGTCCTCCGATCGGCCGGGGGCGCGCCAGAGCTCTGCGCCGCCCTCCCGGCGTGCTCGGCGCGGCTATGGTAGATAAAGGGCCGAACCGGAAGTGGCTGTGGCTGTGCGCGCGCGTGTGTGTGCGAGCGTGTGTGTGTGTGTGTGTGTGTGTGTGTGTGTGTGTGTGTGTGTGTGTGTGTGTGTGTGTGTGTGTGTGTGTGTGTGTGTGTGTGTGTGTGTGTGTGTGTGTGTGTGTGTGTGGCGCCAGCCACCCTCCCTCCCTACACGTTGATCTTATTCGATCGGCCGGGCTCCGCCGGGCCGAGGTGAGAAGAAAGCGCCGCGAAGCCCTCGGGCGCTGTGCGGCTGGGCCGGGCGGGATGAGTCGATCAGATAGGCGAGGCCACGGCCGCTGAGCGCCCTGCGATTCTGACCCGCGCCCACGTCTGCAGCCCCGGGGCCGACGCCGAGCCGCTCCCGACAGCGGCGGAAGACGAACCGCCCCAGCCTCATCCCAGTCGGGCCCCGCGGCGAGGCGGGAAATGCTCCCTGCCGCGGGCTCCGTTCGCGCTTTGCGGGCTCCCTGCTGGCCGTGCGGGGTCTGCACGCTCCGTGCCGTGCTGGCGGTGGTTCACCGGGCCCTGCAGCTGCGTGCGGCGCAAAGGCTGTACACGGGGCTGTCGTGGCACCGTGCCGCGTCTGTGAGCTGAGCGCGGACCTTGCTGGCCCCGCGGGACACCGGGGACTCATTAGACCTACGAGCTTCATGCAGCACGGCCTCTGTGTTTTATTGGGAGTGTGTGGGGATGGGAATAGCCGTGGTGGTGACAAGAGGATGGCCACAAGGGGACAACCATGGTGAAGACTGGGGGATGGCCATGGTAACAAAAAGAACAGCCATGGTGCTGCCAAAGCTGTGATGGTAACCAGGGGACAGCCCCTGTGGAAGAGTACGGTTGTGCTGGTAACGAGAGGATGGCCACGGTGATAACAGGAGGACAGTTGTGGTGATAGCAGGAGGATGGCCGTGGTTATGCCAAGGGGACAGTAAGGGTGGGTGACTGAGGGGTGGCTACAGTGGTGACAAGAGGATGAGCCTGAGAGGACAGCCAGAGAGGTGAAAAGGGGACGGCTGTGATTCTGGCATTACTGGGAGAAGCAGCTGCGGTGGCTGCTGATGGTGGCCCTGCTATGGGGACACTCTGAGAGGAGGTCACCAGCTTAATGGTGCCTGGCAGGCTTCATCTGCCAGGGTGATGCTGTGGATGCCGTGGGGCATGGCCACCCCACACCACTGTCTCTAGCTGTGGCACAAGTAGGCGTGGGGTTGTCCCCATGCTGCCATAGGGACAGGCATGTTTCCTTCCTGTGGCCGTGTCCCCCCTGCCCGTGGTACTTGCTGGCATCCCTGTGTCACCATAGATAGATGTGTGTCACTAGTGTCCTCCAACCCACAGGGTGACCCTTTGCCACCAGAGCCGAGACCCCGGTATCACCTTAGCAGCTCTGTCCCTCATGTCCTCTTTTGACTGTGGCCCCCATATGCCCATGTTCCCCATGTCCTTGGTGTTCCCGTGTTGTCCATAGCCTTCATGTCCCCCTGTGTCCCCCATCTCCCTGCGTTCCCATGTCAGCTGTGTACCCAGTGTCCCTCTGCAGCCCCTTAGGTGTTCCTATGTCCCTCATGTTCAGATATCCCCTGTATCCCGTGTCCCTCGGTGTCCCCCATTCTCCCGTGTCCGCTGTATTCCCAGTGTCCCTGATGTTCCTGTGTCCCCCGTGTTCCTATGTCCCCTGTACCCCCTATGTCCCTCATGTCCTTCATGCCCAGGATATGCAGCCACATGTGTCCCGTGTCCTGTCCCCAGTGCAGTGGGGCTGGCCCGGCTCCGTGAGGACATGGCCTGAGGGCACACGAGTGGCACCCCGTCTCCGGTGGGGTGGAGGCAGCTCCGGGCTGCGGGGGCTCTTGACCGCCCCTCGCCGTGTCCCGGTCCGCCCCCAGCCCCGGGCGGCGGGAGGAGGGGCTGTTCCGGGGGCGTGATGCCCCGAGGCGGTCCCGGTGCTGTTCCTGGCGTAACATTCCCAAATCCGTTCCCGAGGATAAATTCCCGATGCCGTTCCCGGGAACGCGTTCCGGAGATCGCATTCGCAGTCCCGTTTCCGGGGATACGCTCCCAAGGATGATGGGGTTCCCGGCGGCGTTCTCACGGACAGCACTCCCGGTGCCCGGCGCCAATCTCAGGATACCATTCCCGGTTGTAACCTTGGCCGTGCTGTTCCCGGGAGTTCCCTTCCCGTGTCTCTATTCCCAATACCGATGCGCGGTGCCATTCCCATGAATAACATTCTCGATACCGATTCCCGGTGCCGCTCTCATGGCAAGCGTTCCCGGAGGCGATGCCACTTGCCCTTCCAAGGGAGTCTATTCGTGATCCACTGCCCGTTCCCGTTCCCTGGGACGATGGCCCGTGCCATTCCCACCGTTCCCGGTGCCCGTTCTCGGAGGTGCTGCCCGGTGCCGTTCCCGGGGGTTCTGTTCCCAGCGCCTAATCCCGTTCCCGGGGGCGATGCTGGTGCCGCTCCCGGGGGTTCTGTTCCCGGTGCCTGTTCCCGTTCCCGGGGGCGGGGGCAGGTAGCGGCAGGTGCGCGGAGGCCGGGCCGTTGGCGGGGGCGGGGCAGCGGCGCCGGTGCTCGCACCGGCCGAGCTGCCGCCGTTGCCGCCGCCGTTGCCGCCGCCATGGCCGGTACCGGAGCCCGGTGGATGCCGCTGGCGCTGTGTCTGGCTGTCACCGTGTCACCGGGACGCACCGGAGAGCAGCTACACGTCTGCAAGGAGGTACCGGCACCGGGAATGGCGGGGGGCGGGGGGGGGATGGGGGGGTGCGCAACCGGTAACACACCGGCACCGCTGCAACCACCCCCAAATTCCCCCCGCACATCGATGAAACGGAGTCCCGGAGCACGGGAAGGCCGCTCCCTATGAGATGGGGGGGACAAGGAGGGGACAGGTGGGGGTCGGGCATCTCGGTGGCACTGGGGATGGGGTATCTCCTGTAGGGGGGAGGGAGTGGCCGATCTCCTGGGGGCCCAGGGAGCAGTCTTTGCTCCCAGTGGCTCGGCCAGAGCCCGAGGGTCTCCTTTGGGACCCCAACTCGTGTCACCCCATCATCGTCCCTATGTCCCTACCCCTCAGACACATTGGGGTCTCCCTGAGTGCTGCTGGGGGGTGACAAGGAGCAGGGGGGGGGCAATCCCAACGGCCACGTGTCATTCCCAGTCCAGCACATGGTATTCTGTGAAGAAAAACTGTCACTCACCAGGATCTGTCCACCTTGGGGACAGCGGGTGAACCCCCAAATGCTCTCCCTGGGTTGTGCGTATTGCCCCCCTCTCCCCAGTTTTCCTCCCCCCTCCTCAGACCCGCGCCTGCTTTTAATCTGGGCCAGGATTTTTTTTTTTCTCTGATCCAATTATTTTTGTCCGTGTTCCATGATCCAGAGCTGGAAACAATAGACTGGGGCTGGCACCTGCCCCAGGAGCGATCAGTCCCCCAGAGGAGGTGTCCCCTGTCCTTCACAAGGGACAGCCCTTCTCCCTCCCCTGGACAGAGCAGAGTTACAGTGGCAGTTTTGGGCGCCCTCCACCCCCAGAGCCACCCTGGGGCTGAATTAGGTCAATTTATGTAGATTTAATGAAAACATGGAAAAGTTTAGGAAGAGAGAAAAAATACCCTCTCCCCAAGGAAATCCCTCAGGACTGAGAGCAATGTGGTAGTTCAGGGCTGCTGAAAGTTGGAGTGACCCTCCGGGTACCCCCAGGGGGGTGGGGACCTTTCTCTGTGTCCCCATCCCATGGCCAGAGGGGTTCCATGCTGCCTGTACATGGGCAGGGGGTGCGGCAGGCATCTCTCTGTCCTCAGTTTTCCTTCTCCACCCCCCTTTTACCTCTCCAATCCCTCTTTCCCCTTCACACCCCCCCCTCCCCCTCTTTCCCCCCCCCATTGCTGTGTTTCCAGCTGATGGGAACATCAAAGCAGTTGTTTTCTCATCAACCTGCCACGCTCCAGCAGCCGCCGGGAGCATGAAGCCACAGCACCGGCTCTGACACCTCAGCGCTGCTGCGGGGGGTGGGGAGCTCCCCTTGTACCCCAAACCCCAACACCACCACCAGATGTGTCCTTCACCCTGCCCACGCCGTCTGTCCCTGGCGTCTCCTCACCGGCCTTAAGGCAGTCCCAGCTTGGTGCAGTGGGAGGATGGGGGGGTCACGGTGCCTCTGCTGTCTCCAGCACTTCCTGGTTCCTCCTGGTCTCCCCTGTGCTCCCGCCCTGTGCCCGGGCTGCTCCCCGGCTGGATCCGGGTTGTGCCACAGCTGTTTGATGAGCAAAGTGTGTCACAGCCGCGCCAAGGGGCGTGACAGTGCCATGTGATCCCAGGAGCATGGAGGGGCCGCAGGGGTTCCCCTCCACACCAGGGAGGGGTGCAGGGCTGCTGCTGCTCCAAGGCTCCTGAGCAACCCCAGCCAGATCATCCCCCCACGCACAGCACCCCCATTTCCCAGCGTCTTCTCAAACTGCCCCCCCTCCCCCTGCCACAATGCTCCCCCACTCTGA